ATGTAAATGTAATACATAAGACAGTGATAGCATAAAGTGGAGAGAACAGAGGACTCAATATGCTGGTAAGGTTTTTGCACTGCAACTGAAGTGGTAAAATATTGATTCTAAGTAGACCGTGAAAGTATATATTTTGTTATCCCTGGAGCAACTACTAAAAAAAAAATTAAACAGAGAGATGTCAAAGCCACAATAGATAAATTAAAATGGAATACCAAAAGTTCAAATAATCTGGAAAAAAAGCAGGAAAAGGGAAACAGAGAAGTGGAAAAATAAACCAGGGACCAAACAGAAAAGTTAAAAATGACAAACACCAATTCAGTCTCATCAGTAATTACATTAAATGGTCTAAACATACCAACGAAAAGACATATTATCAGGATGGATTAAAAAAGCATGACCACATGCTGCCTACAAAAACTCACATCAGGTATGCTGTTATAGGTGGGTTAAAAGTAAAAGGCTGAAAACAGATGCCATTTGAAAAATAACTAAAAGAAGGCTAGAGTGACTATGTTAACATCAGACAAAGTTGACTTCAGAGCAAAGTGTCAGGAATAAAGAAGGATGTTATATATTCATAGTGTCAATTCACCAAGAAGGTGGCAATCCTAAATGTGTCCTAATAACAGTTTCAAAATACTAGAAGCAAAAAAATGATAGAATTGAAACAAGAAATGAACAAATCCATAATTACAGTTTCAGTAATTGATGGAAGCTAGCAGACAGAAAATCAGAAAGGATATTGAAGAAATGAACAATACCATTAGCCAACTGAATACAACTGATGTTTATAGAACACTTCACCAAACAGCAGAATACACATTCTTCTTAAGTGCACATGGGACATTCTCCAAGGTAGGCCCTACCCTAGGTCATAAAACAAGTTTTAACCAATTAAAAATAATAGAAATCATGCAGAGTGTGTTCTTTGGCCACAATGGAATTAAACAAGAAATCAATAACAGATAAATAATAGCAAAATCTCCAAACACTTGGGAATAACATGCCCTTAAATAATCCATGGGTCAAAGAAACTGGAAACCACCCAAAGGACCTCCAGTGGATGAATGGATAAACTGGTAGATTCATGTAATTGAATTCCATTCAGCAATTAAAAGGAACAAACTGTTGATTCACACGACAACTTGAAAGAACATGAAAGGCATTTTGCTGAATTCAAGAAGCCTGCCTCAAAAGATTACACATATTCTATGACATTCTTGAAAGCACAAAATCATAGTGATGTAAAATAGATCAGTAGTTAGAAGTAGAGTTAAGGTGTGATTACAAAGAAATGATATGAAGGAGATTTATGGGGCAGTGGAAACTGTTCTGTATCCTGATGGTGGTGGTTACATGATCGTCTACACATATTAAAATTCATGGAACTCTACACCAAAAGAAAAGTGCAATTGCATGATCATTTGAAAAATAGACTTAAAATTCAATTCTGATGGTGCTTCACTAGCCTACAGGATGCTGTACAGACTTCTTAATATGGATTACAGGGCACACCCTGGTGGTAATGCCTCAATAGCAGGGCTATTTCCCCTTATAAAGCCCAAGAATGTAGCTTTTATGGGGGTAGACTGAAATGTGGTCCCGAAGGTCACAAATCTTTTGTCTCTAAATAAGACAGTTTTTAGTTTGGAAAATCAAGGATTTAGAAGACTCAAGTTTTCACCCTGGTGTAGTGTGTTGTGGACTCCTGGCCTAATACGGCCTCAGTTTCCTACCTATTAAATGTAACTAAGAACTGGCTCCCCTGGGGTCACTATTAGTGTGACAGAAATTAAACCATATTTAGTGCTGAGCTGAACTGATTTTGCATTTGAACAGAATATGCCTACCCACCTCAAACTCCTCCAGAGAGGAGACGAGTGTGTGATGTGTGTTGGGCGGGGAATAGATGGTATTGTCAAAAGATTTTTGAGGTGCTTTGTGCATTTATTTAACAGTCTGGGCTATACTCTATCCCACTTTGCCTCCCCAGTAACTAATGTATTCCATTGAGATTTGTATCCTGTGGAGAATTAGCTCCTGGAACAATTACAGTGGCAGATATTTCCCCACAGGATCATCCAGAGTTGCAGCTAGGTTTTAGAATTCTTCGGGGCAGCCCCCTTAGTATCATGATCATCCCTGATGGAGATTCTTGGCTTGTGCTGCTGCTGCCTTCCCTTACCTGCCATCCTGACCTGCATATGGCTTGTTTGGAGCTTGGATGACTACCCAAGCCCACCTGCCCCCCATTTCCACCACCATTCAACTTCCCCCATGCTTGAGGTAAATGATGAGGCACTGGAATTGATTATGTTTATCCATTTATTAAAATATTTCGAGAAGCACTACTTTATTAACTTTGAGGACTGGTGTTCTATTTGGTGGGGGGAGAGGAATAAGCACACTTTGTGGACCTTTTCTTTCTGCTTTTTCCAGCTACCCTGTGACTAACCCAGTTTCCTCCCCCAACCAGCCCCTGGCCCTGCTGATAATTTGCAGGGGCCTCTAAGGAAATAAAAAGCACAGAGCAGAAAATAACAATGGATTACAGATTAACTGACAAATAGACAAATACAATTCTATAAACCATGTAGCCAATCAAGGTCTCATATAGGATGGAATGGTGCTAATGGGTTTGGTTGCTTTGGTATTAGTTTCCACCTCTTGTGAAACAAAAATTCTTCCATCTGTGCCCTGAGGGAAGATGATGTTGACCCTGACTGTTTCTTCTGGCTCAGTTTTAAAGTAAAAAAAAATCTCTTTCTTATTCTTCCCCTGCCCTTATGGATGCAGCATAGGGCCTTTCTGGAGAGGGGACCCATAACTGTTGACCTCCTACAGTATTGACACCAGAGGCAGTTGGTGGCAGTTCAAATCTATTGGCTTTTTCTTCCCCACTATTCTTCTGTCCAGGAATTGCCTACCCAGTCAATTCCTCAGAAAGTAATACCAAAGATACAACCAAACCCTAGAGCTTTGGATCTTAATGATGTCTAAACATAATTGAGATGAATATTTGGTGTTTGGTCTCACCACCCAATCAATTGTATTACTGCAAATAGTTGACAAAGTTCTTAAAGGAGCTCACACATCCAGAGGCTAAGACAACTCCCTTGAGAGAGGGATCACTTCTTGCTTTTTTTCCAAGTCAGCATACACAAGGTGCTTGGCAAGCTCTCTTCCTTTTAGGGAAACTACTGATAACTTGGCAATTTAGGAGGTAACTGAGGGATTGAGCAAGCCACACCTGCTCCTGGGCCTTGTCATCTATCAACTCTGCTCCACGAGCTGACTGTAGCCCCAGATACTAGCGATTTCATTCAGTATCATTCTGACTCAGAGTGGGAGGACAGGGTGGGTGAAAGGGAATCACATGGCACAACAGAACAACAGCAGCATCACTGTGCACAAAGACCTAACTATTGCAGCAAAGCAATCACAAGAGATGGAGTCCTATTACAGTTTACTATCATCAGTGATAAAAATAATTACAAGACACAGCCCTGCTTAGTGACTGCCAAAATAAAGATACCCTCTCCCAGGACTTCCTTCTGTTGTCCTAAATTTGCTCATTTGGAAATTTTCCCCTTTGGAAAAAGCTCTTCAGAAGCAAATGCAACTTGGTTCCCAACTCCTTGAGTGTGTGTGCAGATGTTAACACACGCAGCCATGGAGGAGCCAAGTCCAGCTGCAATGGTGAGCTTGCTAATTTGATCTACTACCTCCTCCTGGGAAGAAAGAGTGATACAGAGAAAATCAAAGGCACAGCAACAGCACACTCACTACTCAAATATGTACAATGAGTTAACATATTCTTATGCTTAAGTAAGCTTTACATGTTTTCTGTCATCTTTTTCCAATGACTTTCTTCTCTAGTTGTAGAGCTAGGACTTAATTTGTTTCACACAGCAATCAGACATTTGGGGACTATCCCCTTGTTAATATTTTTCTCCTCACCCCTGCGGAGGTGGAGCACAGGTGGCTGGTTTAAGTGCGTTAGGCTGGTGGAGTTCCAGAGTTGAGAACCAGTGCTTGGAATCTGGATTGTGCACCTCAGTGAACCAGCCATTGGACTGAATCAGGTAATTGCGCACACTAAGTTTGTCTGAGAAGTAGGGAGAGGCCAGTTTTCTCTTGATAAGTGGGAAGGGACACTTAACTAAAGGTGTGAGTCGAGGGTCAGGTGAAGATGCAAGGCTGACCAGAGAAACCTCTCTGGGCATTGGGGTTTGATCAGATTTGCCTGACTGGGAGAAGGCATTTTCTAAAAATGTGAATTAGGAGCTGGAGCGATTTAGAACCAGTTTTTTTTTCATGAGAAATTTGCAAGAACCACCACAGGAAAGCAGACGCTTATAGCCTTTATTTCTCCAGGCCCATGTTTTTTCTGATCACTTGAATGCCCCTCTGTACTCAAGGGAAAAGGTCAAGATGGTAGATTGAAGGTGACTTTGGGACTGACCCAACAGCCTGTCCAGAAGGTCAGGCCAAGATGGAGCTTGTGGGGAAGGGCCTAGGCTGTGACTTAATTGTCAGGCAGTCCCTAGTTCAGGCATCTAAGTCACAGAGCTCAAGGCCTGGTTGCTCCATATAGTCTTTTTATTGGGGAAGGGCACAGTTGCTGATGAAGAGTCTAGGACAAATAGAGGAAAAATAGGCAGCATGCCAGCTTAACCCCCTTCTCTAGGGCATTGGTGTTTTTGTTCCCCTTTCCATGGCCTGGCTCAGAATTTTAAGAGGGCGTCAGAATCAGCTGGGCCATAGATCCCAGCCACCTTTAAGACACTGAAAATGCACCAAAAGATTTAGAAGCTCCACCAAGAACTAGGGCAGTTGTAGAGATGTATGTGTCATGTAGGGTAAAGTGGAGTGGGAAGGAATTCCTGGATTAGCACAATAAATTATAGGGTCACTTAGAGGTTGAGTTGTATTTTCAGTTCTTAAAAGTATATATATATATACATACATATATATATATATATATATATGTATATGTGTGTGTGTGTGTGTGTGTATACACACATCTTTATGTCTCTATACATAATCTATACTGCAGCACAGCAGCAAAACATTTAGTTAAAAAATCCAGCAAGAATGCAGGCAAACACTTCATGGAGTCATGCAGGCTAGGATCAAGGAAGCAGGAGAGGAGCCTGTGTGGTTGCCATGAGGGGTGAGTTCCAACCAATGAGCCCACCCAGCCACCAGAGCACCACCTGGACATATGCAGACATACATGCACACATGGAAAAATGCAAAAGGTTTGCAGAGAGAGCGTGTGGTTACCACATCTACAAGAAGAGATTTCACATGGTCATCTTAAAAGGAAAGTGGACAAGCCCCCAGGATCCAGTTCTCATTTTAATGAGCCAACTAGAAGAGATCTCCTGAAGTTGCAAGTTGCTGTTGGCAAGGATTCGAGGAGACACACAACCAAGCCTGGCAGTCCTGCCTGCCCCCTTCTCTTCATCTCCCTGGGAATCTGTCTTTCATTAATTCCGTAGCATTGATAGTTTCTCTGCTGGTCAGAGAAGGCCATTCCAAAACTCCCTGAAGAGGTGAACTCCCTTGAATCCTTTATAGATCCGATCCCGGGCCATTCATAAAGAGCTTATCCCAACAAATGCTGTAGTTGCTCAAGATGCACAAAGAGGAGAACTGAACAAGACAACTTGGAACAAGAGCCAATGAGGAAATGTAAACCTCTAAGGAGACCAGATTAAGTCCAGGAAAATGCATTAGTATAAAGAATTGGAGGGTCTTTCTTGGTGGTGCTCATGTTTGTTCTGAAATGATTTAGTCTAGCCTGTATTGAGGTTTTGAGAGTTTTTTAGTAGAATTCTAAATGTTGTGAGTTCCTCCAGCTTTCAAGGGCTACAGTTGAGATATTGATGGTGTTGGAGGATCATCACTCTTTGCTTCATCTTCACGATGTCTGCGGTGCCACATACGACCTTCAGAGGAAAAAATGGTATAGAAACAATGAGGTTAGCACATTGCCAGATGCCCAAGTATGTGGACTGGAAAGAGAGCAAAGAGTCTGCTAGGAGAGACTGGTTTGTTCTTATTGTACTAACCATCTCTGAATCATCAGAGAAAACCAGCTGACACCATGTGAGCTAAAGACAAATGGGATGAATTTTCAGAACCTGATAATCTATGGAACTGTTATTGACTCCATCAGTCTTTAGAAATACTTGCAAACACCATGTTCTCCCATTTGACAGACTCTTAGAGAATGAAACCAGTTGGACCATACCTGAGAAAATACAGGTTGATCCAAGAGATTCTCTCTCGGATTTCATGCAAATTTTTAGTTTCTTGAAAGCAAACTGCTACCCTCTGTCCCTTTCTTTTTTCTTTCTTTCCTTCTTTCTTTCATTTCTATCCCTTTCTTTCTCCTTCCTTTCTTTTTTCTTTCTCTCCCTCCCTGCCTCCCTCCCTCCCTTCCTTCATTCATTCCTTCCTTCCTTCCTGTTTCCTTCCTTCCTTCCTTCCCTCCTCCCTCCCTCCCTTCTTTCCTTCCTTTTCTTCTTTCTCCCTCCCTTCCCCCTTCCCTCCCCCTCCCTCCTTCCTTCATTCCTCTTTCTTTTGAGATGAGGTCTCACTCTGTTGCTCAGGCTGAAGAGCAGTGGCACGAAGACAGCTCACTGCAGCCTCAGCCTCCCAGGCTCAAGCAATCCTCCCACCTCAGCCTCCCAAGTTGCTAGGACTACAAGTGCACACCCCATGCACTACTAATTTTTTATGTTTTGTAGAGATGGGGTTCCACCATGTTGCCCAGGCTGGTCTTGAACTCCTGGGCTCAAATGGTCTGCCTGCTTTGGCCTTCCAAAGTGCTGGGATTACAGGCCTGAGCCACTGTGCCTGGCCCGTTCTTTTTTTTCCATGTCCACTATTACTATATCTCCCAAGCTTCCAGGTTGTGTAGGAACAAAATTTAGGAGAGACCACCATGGATATCAGAATTGGCATAACCAAAAACTCTAAGAGAAACTTCTTTTGAATCCCACTGATATATCAATAGTGTTTAGGGCCAATTCTGAAGAAAAAGGAATGGAACCAAAATTCAGACAATGAAACATACAGATATGTTTCTTTTCTACCACTTACTATAACAGGAACAAAAGTGTTTAGCTAGGTCACAGAACCTGTTCCTGACCCTTAGGAGTGAATCAGGCAGAAAAATCACTACCTGTTTGCATTTTTGTTTTCTATATATGTCATGGAGACCACGCAGGTTCTCCTTTTACAAGTGTCCATATCACTTTCTTACACCTTGTCCAAGAGATGGCTTGGTGTCATCTTGGACAAGGTGTATCACTTACTGCTGGCTCCCAGGTGGCCTCCCCTTCATCATCACCATTCCCACAAACATTTCTAATGGGGCTTTAGGTTTCTGGGAGGTAGCCAGGCTGCTGGGGGTAGTCTCCATTACCCCTCTGCCTGTTGGAAAGACTTACCAATAAAACCCTGGACACTTTGGCCTGATTTAGGCTTGCGTTCCTCTTCTAGCTTTTTCCTTCCCAATTTGGGGAACTTAATTTTCAGCCTGAGGCTTCTACTGTCAGTGTCCGAAGATTTTTCCTGTGAAACAACAAGGGAAAGGTCAAAATATTAGTTGCCTAATATTCAGAGACAATTCCTAGAGTCCTGGAAAAGTGGTAAACAAGGATGACTGCAGAAAACAGGGAGATATGCTGTCTATCCAGGTATAATAAACACCCCCATCACTGGTTGCATGCCCTAGGAGAGCAATTGATCTTTACCAAGAGATTACTTGGTGCTAGGTGACTCGCTAGCATTAATAAATGCTCTCATACAACTCTCAAAGCAATCTTGCAAAGTGGTTATTAACATTCCTGTATCAGAGATGAGGAAGCAGAAGCTTATAGAAGTTAAGTATTTCACCTGAGTTCATGTGGCTAGGGATTAAAAGGATGAGATTGCTAGGGCCACTGCT